ATTGGAGCTCCAGTCAAAATGGTAACTTTACAGGAGAAGGAAAAAACATACTTTACTTTTCATGTAAGTCAATGGAACCAGAGTTTTTTCCAAGTCATTTTGGGCCGTTTCTTTTGGTCCATTCATCATGAAATCTAAAAACAGTGCAAAGAACAACAGGCATTTTCAAATTATGATGATGCAGGTATCGCTTTAAAAACGTTTAAAAGCTGTATTGGAGCTCCAATCACAGATTCTTCCACAGTAACATACAGCGCGCTGCAGATTGTCTTTCTCTCACAGTGTTAATACTGCTAATAATAATAACTCCAGAGCTCTGAGGGTTAACCATGTTGACTTTGATTATGAATAGCATCGCTATCAGAGAATGATTTTATGACCAAAGGTGTTTTTTTGTTGAGCCTGGATGGAAAAAAGGCATTAGCTACAGAATCAGCAGTTTAGCAATATCGAAGTGTGCTGCGCAGACACATTTGGACGGGTACGTGTGTGTTTACAGAAGCTCGGGGACTTCTGCAGCTCTGTCCTGCCGTTAAGCAACTTGCTTTATGAGGTTTTCAGCGCTGAGTGCTGAGTCATCATAGAAAAGAAAAGTTCAGATCAAAACTAAAGAGCACAGGATAGAGAGAGAGAGAGGGAGGGAGAGAGGGAGAGAGAGAGGGAGGGGAAGAAGAGAAAGAATAAAACACATAACTCTTTAGGGAGGGGAGGAGGGGGTGTGATAAAGCTGTCTGGATGACAGGTTTATAATGCTCTTTATCTCTCTCTCTCTGATAGGCCTGTCATCCTGCCATGCATGTGAAACACCGTTACACAGGATTTGAATCATTTGCCACCAATTTTCTTCTCTAACAAACATCACCCTGCATGCATGTGATGATTTGCTACCTGTTGAGGCTCATAGTCAGATTTCCTCAACTGCTTATAATAGTGTTGGACCAGTACTGTATCAGTATCTGTGTCGATATTGGCGCCTAAAGGTGCAGTGTGTAAGATTTAGTGGCATCTAGTGGTGTTGCAGCCAAACAAATCCACCTCCCTCACCCTTCCCTTTCCAAGCGTGTAGTAGAACCTACAGTGGCTGTCGGGTTTTCTGCCTTTGCCTGTCATGTTTTTGCTTCTTTGACGTTGAGAACCACCCACGCACTCATTGTTTCGTTATCAGTGAGTGCGTTTACATGCACGCAATAATCTGATAACTGCAGAAAATGAGATTTTGTCAGTAATCCGATCAACGCATTTATATGCACTTGAGTAATCAGATAATGGGGAAACTCCGGGTCTACATGAGTTAGACAATAATCAGATTTCTGCTTTGCAACCAACCAATAAACTCACAGAAGAAGATGTGATGTAAACATAGCATAAAACTTAAACTTAATGCCGCAGCCTTTTTAAAAATACACCACTTTACCTGTGTATGTGAATGTATTTGGTTTCAGTGTCGCTCCAAAAATGTTTTGCTGCGTCTTGCGGTAACACTGCTTACTTAATTCCGGTCTGTTTTCGCCCATGCACAGACTGAGAAATCCGAAAGAAATCAGAGTAAGAGTTTACATGCGCTGAGAAATCTGATTACTGAGCTAAAATCCAGCCTCTTTATCAGATTTCTTATACGGATTTTTTAGACCTTACTCTGATCTAAGAAATCAGAGTATGCAGTTTACATGACCGTTTGAATAATCAGATAACTGCAGAAATCTGATTATGATCCACTCACTTTATTAGGAACACCCGCCTTGTATTTCCACTAACTGGCCACTTTGTTAGAAACACCTACCTTGTACTTCCACTGGGCTCTTTATCACAGCCCTAAAAGAGAACTGGAAATAGTACTAGTTAATATTGCATACTGTACTATTATGACTATTATAGTCAGGGGTTAAATTAGAATTTCGGAGAGGAGCCCTGTTTTTTCCGTGCGTGTGGTAGTATGTGGTGTTCTATGCAGTTCTCAGGTCTGACATCATGAAAATGTGATTAAAATGAACAGCCCCTTGTTTCTGTCTTAGTACCCTAATTAAGAGAACTAAAGTACGTGAGTCTTTTTAGTATTCTTCGTTTGTCAGTTCTGGCATCTCAGTGATATCAAGATGAAAGTTAAACTGAAGTCTTTAAACTAGCAAAGTAAACTGTTCCAAACAATTATATCTTCTATCTGAAATCAGAAACCTTTCCTGTCCTGTTTAACTGTGTACTGGTGAAATGGTTCTGCACTGTACAACACTATACCAGAGTTCAACGACATCCAGTCAGATTCGGAAAGATTCTTCTAAAACGGTGAAAACGGTGTTCTCCTCTTCCTCCCTCGTTCCTTCTCCTTTGGCCGTGTGTTAGGAGGCCCTGGTCTGCTGCTTTGAAGGTCACAGATGGGGGGAACTCAGAGTGATTCAGCTGCACTGAACCCCCATCAACAATTTATAGAGACGTAGGAGGGAAATCTATCTTTCTCTCTCCTCTCTCTCTCTCTCTCTCTCTCTCTCTCTCTCTCTCTCTTTTCCCCTCTCTCTCTCTACCTCTCTTTAAGCATATCCTACTCTTTCTCTCCCTTCTCTGTCTTTCCCTCCCTCTCTCTCTCTCACTCTGTGTGGGCTGGTGTTTCTCAGTCTTTGAGTGTCCATCTGTCTCTCCGAGCTGCTGGATTAGAAGCTCCTGTGAGCAGCTCTGTGTATATACAGCGTTCAGAGACCCAGATTTCAGCACTGTTACAGTAACTACTGCACACACACACACACACACACACACACACACACACACACTCAGTCTGTTTAGAAAAAGGCTGTTCTGGTTCTCTTTCACTTTTTAAAACCACAAATTGACTAAGAGGTGCATGAGGAAGAACTAAAGCTTTATACATTCACTGGCCACTTTATTAGAAACACCTACCTTGTATTTGCACTGACTGGCCACTTTATTAGAAACACCTACTTTGTATTTGCACTGACTCGCCACTTTATTAGAAACACCTACCTTGTACTTCCAAAAACTGCCCACTTTATTAGAAACACCTACCATGTGCTTCCACTGACTGGCCACTTTATTAGAAACACCTACCCTGTATTTTCACTAACTGGCCACTTTATTAAAAACACCTACCTTGTATTTGCACTGACTGGCCACTTTATTAGAAACACCTACCTTGCACTTCCAAAAACTGGCCACCTTATTAGAAACACCTACCTTGTATTTCCACTCACTGGCCACTTTATTAGAAACACCTACCTTGTGCTTCCTGTCCCTGGCCACTTTATTAGAAATGCCTATCCTATAACTCTTCTTCATAGGTAAAACGTTACTGGACTGTAGTCTGTCTGTGTCACTGCTTGGTTGAGACTGGTCCACCACCCATAAATATCCATCCAAGAGCAGCTCTGTGTTGTGCCTTGTGAAGGTCTAGAGGGTGGCTAACACAGGCTGTGCATCAACAGATGATCTACAGTCTGTAACTGTACATCAGCAAGGAGGAGCTACAAGAGAGGGGTTTCTGATAAAGTGGCCGGGTAAGGCAGCATACTGCAATAGTGACAAAAGCAACAATGACTTATTAAGCAGGCCATATGCTGCTGAGTGAGCGTCTGAGATGTGTGCTGGTGCGTGTTTACCCGGAGGGTTTGCTTCCACGCGGCCTGAGGGGACACTGATATGAACGTTCAGACGGGGAACAGCAGGATCCTGTTTGGAATGCGCTGTTTACTCCCCCACAAAAAAATAAAAACAACACTCAGACGCCTACGAGGCTGAAGTCCAAAGATGAAACCCCCTGCTGAAAGAACATCTCCGCCAAAGCAAACAAACAAGACAACCTCGGACTTTCCCCTTTAACGCCCCGACTGTTTACTGAGCAAAGAAAGCCGGGTGCACCATCCCCAAACTTTATTCCCCAAACAGAGCCATGAACAAAACAGGAAAAAATAAAAGGCAAACAGAGGCAGCGTCCTAAATCACACCCAATCCACTATATAGTGCACTAGAATGCATTTTCTAGTGGTGTTTGAAAACATGGTGGAGAACATTTGGTGTGTTATTACAGTCTTACAGTGGACTGCAACAGTACAAAGTGAACACAGCATACCCATAATGCACTGCATCGTTTGGTTTGAAGAATCACTGACAAGCTAATTACATCAGATAATTATATCATGATAATTATATCAAATTCCTGATGGGAAAACGATAGAGCTGAGAGTGACATTACTGCTACTGAGTGCTGATTGGTTAGCATTACTGCTACTGAGCGCTGATTGGTTAGCATTACTGCTACTGAGCGCTGATTGGTTAGCATTACTGCTACTGAGTGCTGATTGGTTAGCATTACTGCTACTGAGCGCTGATTGGTTAGCATTACTGCTACTGAGTGCTGATTGGTTGGCATTAAAGCTACTGAGCGCTGATTGATTAGCATTACTGATACTGAGTGCTGATTGGTTAGCATTACTGCTACTGAGTGCTGATTGGATGGCGAACTGACGATTTTCTCTCCCCTATAGTAGTGTACTAGTGCTCTAATGTAGGGAATATTGTTTAGGGGGCCATTTCTGTTTTCTATAATAGTGCTTTATAAAGGGCTCCAGTGTAGAGAAAGATAGAGAGAGAGAGACAGTGAGAGATAGAGGAAGTCAGCAGAGCAGGAAAGAGTGATAGTCTTGGGTCAGTAAAGGATGTGAATGAGTGTATTTATTGCTCATTGTTTTCTTTCTGCCTCTCTCTCCTCTCTCTCTCTCAGCTTCTCTTTCTCTCTCTCTCAGCATTTCTCTCTCTCTCTCAGCATCTCTCTCTCTCTCTCTTTCTCTCTCTCTCTCTCAGCATCTCTCTCTCTCTCTTTCTCTCTCTCTCTCCTCTCTCTCTCAGCTTCTCTTTCTCTCTCTCTCAGCATTTCTCTCTCTCTCTCTCAGCATCTCTCTCTCTCTCTCTCTCTCTCTCTCTCTATGTGGGCCAGTGTTTCTCTCTCAGCCTTGATCCTCAGACGCGCTGTTTACAGATCATTGTGGAAACGCTGAATTCGCTTTAAAAGACCCTCACTCGGCTCCCGCGGGGAGGCGGCCACTCAGCAGCGGGCAAGGACAGGAAGTGGCAGCTGCGGAGTGACCACTGCCTGAGAGCGGGTGTGTGGCGTGACTTTTGACCCCGATAAGCTTTTTGATGACTGCAGCTGGATGTGGACTGCAGAGCTCCTCAGGCATGCAGACCACCCCCCCCCACACACACAGGACACGACTGGTCACACGTTCTGCTGAAACAGCATCATCCTGTTCCTGTTATGGTCCAACATCAGGAGCACTAAATCACCGCACAACCACACGAGAGCTTGAGAACCCGACTGTGCGCATCAGGTTCGGACATTGGTTCTCAAATATGTGTCCGTCTCAGGTCAGGGTCAGGTTTCATGTTTGGGTTCTCACAGCACGCCTCCTTTCATTTGCAGCCCTTCAGGCTGGAGTCCTCACTCGTGTTACTGACAGCATTCAGCGCTGAGCTCCGCGAGGCTCACGGCACTGAGAGGACAGCTGAGTGCAACAAAAAGGGCTTTATTTTTCATTTGTTTGACCAAAAATATGTTTTATGATTTATTTTTTAGTGTGTTTTAGGGTTAAACTGGTAAAGGCTGATATGATGCTATATCAGCTCCACCCAGCATGAGAACAGCGCAGTGTGGACAGTTTATCCCAAAGAGGTTTGGGATGTTGTTGAAAGCCATTGCTGATGCATTTGTTAAAGCAGAACGCAAACTTAAGACTTAAGCTTGTTGTTGAACAGCTGACTATTGTGTTATGTCTTATTATTTTATCCGACTGAAATTTTTTCAGGCTCGGGTCAGTTTCAGGCTCAAATGATGTTGGTTGGGTCGGGTCAGGACAGAATTTTGTCAAGGTCAGTTTTAGCCTTAAACTTGATCCTGTGGGTCGGATCGGTTCAGAATTTATTCAGGCCTGGGTCAGTCCCGAGCTCAAAGCTTGGGTCATGTCAGACAGAATTTTGTTGGGCTTGGGTCAGTTTCAGACTCAAAACTTGATCATGTGGATCAGGCCGGTTCGGACATGATTTTGTGAGGCTCGAGTCGGTTTCGGACTCAAAATGTGATGTGGGTCAAGTCAGGTTTGACAGAATTTTGTCAGCTCAGGTCAGATTTGGACACTAAACTTGAAGTGGGTCGGATCGGCTTCTGGCAGAATTTGTTTGTTGTTTAGCTTGAGTCAATTTCAGCATTAAAACTTGTTTTGCAGTCAGTTTTGGACTTGAAACTTGATGATGTTGGTCAGTTCAGGTTCAGACAGATGTTTGTCGGGCTTGGGTCAGTTTCTGACTTAATGAGTACTTAATGATCTTGGTCAATTCAGGTAGGTTTGGACAAAATTTTGTCCAGGTTTGGTTCTGACTCAAAACTTGATTATGATTCTGACCAGAATTTTAATGGGCTCAGGTCAGTTTCGGACTCAGAACTTGATTAGGTTTGGGTCAGGTTGGGCTTAGATAGAACTTTTTTAGGCTCGGGTCGGGTTCAGACTCAAAACTCAATGTGGGTGAAGTCAGGTTCGGACTGTATTTTGCCATCTCAGGTCAGATTTGGACACAAAACTTGATGAAGTGGGTTGGGTTTGATCAGCTTCTGGCAGAATTTTGTTGGGCTTGGGTCAATTTCAGAATCTAATCTTGATTTGCGGTCAGTTTTGGACTTTGACATGTTGGTCTGTTCAGGTTCAGACAGATGTTTGTTGGGCTTGGGTCAGTTTCTGACTGAGTACTTCATAATGTTGGTCGGTTTGGGTCAGGTTTGGACAAAATTCTGTTGGGCTCAGGTCAGTTTTGGACTCGAGACTTGATGATGTGGTTTGGATTGAGTTGGGCTTGGATGGAATTTTGTTGGGCTCAGGTCAGTTTTGGACTCTAAACATGATCAAGTTTGGGTCAGGTTGGGTTCTTACAGAGTTTTGTTGGGCTCAGGTCAGTTTTGGACTCGAGACTTGATGATGTGGTTTGGATTGAGTTGGGCTTGGATGGAATTTTGTTGGGTCAGGTCAGTTTTGGACTCTAAACATGATGTAGTTTGGGTCGGGTTGGGTTCTTACAGTTTTTTTTTTAGTTCAGTTCAGTTTCGGGCCTGGACAAATGGGTCAGGTTCAGACTCAAAAGTAGATGCGGGTCGAGTCGGGCTTGGACAGTTCACTAGGTTGTTTTTTGGCCCTTAAAAATAAGACATGTTCAAAACAAGCCAGTGTCTTTGCATTCTAAGCAGAAAGGCTTATCCGTTCTTTTCAAGCTGAATCAGAAAGCAACATTATCTGTATCTCTCTCACCCTCTCCCTCTCTCTCTCTCACACTCAGCCAGCTCAGGCCGACCCTCGCTGATGTCTCTATGGCTTATGGAAATGAGGCAGAGGAACCTATTGAAAGTGAGAGTGTGTGGTGAGATCTGAAAGCCGACGCAGCGGGGAAGAAAATCTGCTCTGGCTGTGGTCCTAATTAAACACAGCTTCAAAACCCAGAACACCCCCAAAACCCCCTCACTGAACCTCTGTGGCACCGTCCACCCTTCAGCCGTATGCGCAAGCACTTTTTTGCGGCTAATTTGTGTGATAATGCATGGAGTGATCGATAATCGAAAGACATTTAAGCGGCGTATAATTAATGTCAGAGAATTCAGAGCCTCCATTTCTGGGACGTTTATTTCGCTATACATTACAGCCCTGCGGTTCTTATGCTAATGAAACAAGGTTAACAGCAGCTGCCCTGAGGCCCGAACTGCACGCACTTTAAATGCTAAGTGAGCTCAAACTGCAGAATGTGCACTGTCCTGGCTTATGGGAAGGAAAGGACAGCAGCAGATACAGAACAACACACATCCACAGAGTGAAGTGTATCTTCAAATATTAGGCTGGCTTTGCACAGTGAAACTTTCACACAACTTTGAAACCTACATGAAACTAAATTGCCATAGAGTTTCACAGTGTGAAATCCTCCTGCAACTCATTTGAAACCTGTCTGCAACAGTTGCAGGTGTCTCAACTTCATTTTTTCTTTTACAATTGATGCAGTTTCATTAGTAATTATATATGATGTATCAAGAAAACATATTCATTTTTACACCACTATCAAACCTGGATAGTTTTTATCACAGCATCTGGTATCATCCACAGCACTCGGCTGGTCATCATAAATTGGACATCTGGACATGTTTTGGACATGATTCCTAAATGAAACTGGCCCAGGGCTCTGCGTGGGCAGCTTAGGGGGCGTGGCCATGCAAAGTGGCTTTCGGGGTGTGTCACACTCCTGGTTAAAAATGGACAGTTGTTGTTGTTGTTGTTGCTGTTGATACTGTTGGTGTTGTTAATGTGTTGTTGCGGTTATTAGAGTAATTGTGTCTGAGGAGGGTGGGATTTGTAGGTAACTAGTGCTTAGAAGTGTCTACCTCCACCATGTGTCGCGTCCTCCTGCATTACCCCTCCCTGTGTTTAGTTTTCGGGCTAGCACTGGGTTTAGAAGTGGGCGATATGGCAAACGATACTTCACGATACTTCAAGAAATTTTCACAAAGCACAGTTTGTCATGATAATTATTTTGTCAGATGTGATCAGTTGGAAGAGAAAAAAAAGAACCAGAAGCGCTTTTTTCTTAAAAAATACTATCAAAAACTGTGAACACAATGATTTTATTCAATATTTGTCAAACTGTGTTGCACTGAATCCTGGTAAACGGGGCTAATTTTGCTCTCTTTACAATGAAACACTGCAGTTAGTGTTCTACTAGTACTGACGATATTCATGATATGGTCAGAAAAGCATTTTGTATTGACATAATTTTTCACGATAACGATATATATTGTCTTATTGCCCAGCCCTAGGCAATAGCTGGGCATTTTGCTGCTTCTGTTAAAGTGGCTGTTCAAAATAAAAGAGCATTCACCCAGATTTCTTCTTCTGCACCGACACTGCAATACATTTTTTTTTCAATACCTTTTTGTAACCCCCAAAAAATACTGTCCGCAGAGACATACAGGCTAAATCAGCAGATTGCCACTCGCAGACTTTGCTCTGATCCAGCTTGAGGCAGGAGAACTCCGTGGAAAGCCTTGCCGCTGGATCCTTCCAAACCACACTCAGTCTAAACGTGCAATTTCAGGCCCAGAAGGCTTTAACCTCACACACACACACAGTGTGTTAAAAGCTCGCGCCACGCTGGCCGTACACTTCCAGTGCAGTCCAAGCAGGACAAACACATCACTGTCATTACATAACACAGTGTGTGGAGCGCAGGAGGGGCACAACACATCACAGCAAATAGACACGGCCACTTTAGTAGAAACACCTCCCTTGTAGCTCTACTGTGTCGTACAGTTAGAATCTGTAGCCCATCTTTTGATGCGCAGTTTGTCTTAGCCATCCCTCTAATCCTTTATCAGTGGTCAGTTTCTCGACCTAGCAGTGACACTGGCGTGTGTAAAAGCCTCAGCAGCACCACTGTGTCTGATACACTCCATGTTAGTGTCGGTGCTGTGCTGAGAGTGGACCTCCAACCAAATAATATCTGGACAACAGCAGTCCAGTGGTCACAAACTGACCAGTGATGAATGGGATAGAGGGAAGCTGATAAACCGTGCAGCAAGACATGGACTAGTCTGTAATTTTACACCAGCATAGTGGAGCTATGGCAGTAATTGTAAATGTTTCTAATAAAGTGGCCAGTTCAGTAGAAATAAAAAGTGTTTCTAATAAAGTGGCCTAAGAGGGATACCACAAGGTAGGTGTTTCTAATAAAGTGGCCAGTGAAGGGGAGCACAGTGTTTCTAATAAAGTGTCCACAGTGAGTGGAGGTATTCGGTTGCCGTTTCTAATAAAGTGGCCAATGAGTGAAGGTACTCGGTAGGTGTTTCTAATGAAGTGGCCAGTGAGTGAAGGTACTCGATTGGCGTTTCTAATAAAGTGGCCAGTGAAGGGGAGCACAGTGTTTCTAATAAAGTGGCCACAGTGAGTGGAGGTATTCAGTTGCTGTTTCTAATAAAGTGGCCAGTGAGTGAAGGTACTCGGTAGGTGTTTCTAATAAAGTGGCCAGTGAGCGAAGGTACTCGGTTGGCTTTTCTAATAAAGTGGCCAGTGAGTGGAAGCACAAGGTTGGTGTTTCTAATAAAGTGGCCAGTGAGTGAAGGTACTTGGTTGGTGTTTCTAATGAAGTGGCCAGTGAGTAAAGGTACTTGGTTGGCGTTTCTAATGAAGTGGCCAGTGAGTATACTCGGTTGGCATTTCTAATAAAGTGGCCAGCGAGTAAAGGTACTCGGTTGGTGTTTCTAATAAAGTGGCCAGTGAGTGAAGGTACTCGGTTGGTGTTTCTAATAAAGTGGCCAGTGAGTGAAGGTACTCGGTTGGCGTTTCTAATAAAGTGGCCAGTGAGTAAAGGTACTCGGTTGCCGTTCCTAATAAAGTGGCCAGTGAGTGAAGGTACTCGGTTGGCGTTTCTAATAAAGTGGCCAGTGAGTGAAGGTACTCGGTTGACGTTCCTAATAAAGTGGCCAGTGAGTGAAGGTACTCGGTTGGCGTTTCTAATAAAGTGGCCAGTGAAGGGGAGCACAGTGTTTCTAATAAAGTGGCCACAGTGAGTGGAGGTATTCAGTTGCTGTTTCTAATAAAGTGGCCAGTGAGTGAAGGTACTCGGTAGGTGTTTCTAATAAAGTGGCCAGTGAGCGAAGGTACTCGATTGGCGTTTCTAATAAAGTGGCCAGTGAGTAAAGGTACTCGGTTGGCTTTTCTAATAAAGTGGCCAGTGAGTGGAAGCACAAGGTTGGTGTTTCTAATAAAGTGGCCAGTGAGTGAAGGTACTCAGTTGGCGTTTCTAATGAAGTGGCCAGTGAGTAAAGGTACTCGGTTGGCGTTTCCTAATGAAAGTGGCCAGTGAGTGAAGGTACTCGGTTGGCGTTTCTAATGAAGTGGCCAGTGAGTAAAGGTACTCGGTTGGCGTTTCTAATGAAGTGGCCAGTGAGTAAAGGTACTCGGTTGGCGTTTCTAATGAAGTGGCCAGTGAGTGAAGGTACTCGGTTGGCGTTTCTAATGAAAGTGGCCAGTGAGTAAAGGTACTCGGTTGGCGTTTCTAATGAAGTGGCCAGTGAGTGAAGGTACTCGGTTGGCGTTTCTAATGAAGTGGCCAGTGAGTAAAGGTACTCGGTTGGCGTTTCTAATGAAGTGGCCAGTGAGTGAAGGTACTCGGTTGGCGTTTCTAATAAAGTGGCCAGTGAGTGAAGGTACTCGGTTGGCGTTTCTAATAAAGTGGCCAGTGAGTGAAGGTACTCGGTTGGCGTTCCTAATAAAGTGGCCAGTGAGTGAAGGTACTCGGTTGGCGTTCCTAATAAAGTGGCCAGTGAGTGGAGGTACTGGGTTGGTGTTTTTAATGAAGTGGCCAGTGAGTGGAAAGTCTAGAAAGTGTGGTAGGAAGCGCGGCTCTTCAGTCGGTGTGTGTTCTCTATATAATGATACAGTTACTGTAGCTCTCCTCACTGCTAAGCCTCAGATATTGGCAGGCACTCTCCTTTTTCTGCCCTTAGCTCCAGCTTCAGAGGAATGCATGTGAGGGGGTGTGAGTCATGCAGGAAAATGCTAAAGCAGCTAGCGGGGCTTCTCTTAGCTTCGCTGTGGGTTCAGCCTGGCTCCGAGCCCAGGAATGCGGGTCACTACTCAGTGGGAAAATCTCCTGTTCAGTGCTGAAGTTTAGATTTGTACTGCAGTCAGAGCGAAACATGAAAAATGCACCGGTGCATCAATCATCGATCTGAAAGGGGTCAACTGCGTTATTATAATTGGTGTAATATTATTAACACTGTTTTATGTTCTGATCTCTGCTCTGTGCTGTGCTTCATTCATAAATCACTCAGAGCTGAAACACTTCTTAACTTCAGTGTGAGTGGGCGGAGCTAAACCACTGTAGATTGAACAGGCACATATATGGAAATGCATTAGGCTTTGTGACATCACAAAAACAAAGAATTAAAAACGAGCTGTTTTTGCAGCTTAGCGTCCATATATGGACCATGAGTGAGCAGTTTGTTTTGAAACTTTATTTTGGCTCCCGAGTGGCGCAACCATTAGAGGATCATGAGTTTGATCCCTCAGTGATGCTATGGCTGATCCATGGCTGGGAGTCAAAGAGAGCACCATTGTCCTCCCTCTCATTGGGTGGGTAGGATGGCCGTCCTTCTCCCCCATCACTCAGCGCAGTGCTAGCCAGCACATGCATCTGTTAACGTAACAGATCTGCCGATTAGTGTTCTCCTCCGAGTGCATTCAGCTGTCCGGTGAGCGCGGCGTGAGTGGATATTCGAAAAGAAGCGGTGGCGCCTCACACGACTTGGAGGAAGCCTGTGTTAGCCTTCGCCCTCCTAGCGCTGGTGGTATCGTGTGGTTGGAGGAGTCCTAACTAGTGGGTGGAATTGGATATGACTAAATTGGGGAGAAAATTGAAAAAATAAAAAAAATTCTTTATTTCAAAACAGTGAG